TTGTGTGTTTCTGGTTGTGTTTAAGGGATGCATTGTGTGAATCTGTGTTTGTATGTGTAAGAGATGTATTGTGTTTCTGTGTTTGTATAAGATCTCTCCTCCACCCCTCCCTACCTCCCTTAATGGTCTCTCCCCACCCCGCACCCCTATCCTAGTGGTCTCTTCTCCACCCCCCTCCTACCCTCTATTGGTCTCTCCTCCACCCCCACCTCCTTAGTGGTCTCTCCTCTAAATCATCCCCTCCCATGGTGGCCTCTCCTCCACCTCCCCACTCCCTCAGTGGTCTCTCCTCATCCCCATCCCTCAGTGGTCTCTCCTCACTCCCCTTCCTTAGTGGTCTCTCCTCACCCCCCCCATAGAGTCTCTCCTCCACCTCCCCATAATGGTCTCTCCTCCATTCCTCCACCCCCCCCTCCCTCAGTGGTCTCTCACCCCCCTCTCCCTCCCATGGTTGTCTCCACCCACCCTCCCATAATGGTCTCTTCTCCATTCCTCCACCCCTCCCTCAGTGGTCTCTCCCCCCATTCGCCTCACCTCCCAGGTATACAGTAAACACATAAGCTCACTGATACACAAGCTCAAAGACAGAAGTTTACTGACACAAACTCACTTATACACAAAAAATGGGCTCACTGACAGACAAAACTCTGACTCACACACAAGGCTCACTACAGACAAACTCACTAGTATAGACACTGAAGGCTTACTACAGACAAGCTCACTGACACACACAAGCTCACCACAGACTGAACACAGACTGCTGAACACACGCACACACCGACTATACACACTGCTGAATACACTCAGACTGCTGAGTACATACACACAGTACACTGAAAACACACAGACTGCTGAATACACACAGAGATACTGCTGAGTACACACACACACAGAGAGAGGCGTAACTAGAAACCACTGGGCCCCGGTGCAAAAATACCCCACACCAGATTCTCATGTCTCATTCTTCCCCCTTAGCCCCTCTGAGTCTTTCACACACCTCAGCCCCTCCTTCTATTTATCTCCCCCCCCAGCCCCTCCATGATGCTCTCCCGCCTCCCCTGCCCCCCCCATGATGCTCTTCCCCCTCCTCAACCCCTCCATCGTGTTTTTCCCCCTCGACCCCTCCATCATGCTCTCCCCCCCTTCCCCAGCCCCTCCATCATGCTCTCCCCCCTTCCCCAGCCCCTCCATCATGCTCTCTCCCCTACTCAGCCTTGAGTGTGCAGTGGCAGAACTACCACTGCACACACAAGGTTGATTATTTCAAGCCTACCTGGCACTGGAGGATGTGGGACATCTTCCAACTGCAGCTAGGTCTGATGCTTAACGTTGGGGGCAGAGCTTGGGGCGGGACTTGCATGTGTGGGTGGAGTTTGCACAATGGGGCGAAGCCATTGTGAGCAAGGCAGAACAGGAGTCAGTTGTGCCGCCATGTTCTTTCTAGAGAGAAGAAGCTTTCTCCTGGCAACCCTTCCAAACAAAGCATATTTGTTCAGTATTTTCTAATTATACAGTCAGGAATTTTAACAACTAACATGTCTGAAGTGTAACTTAAATGTAATGTTAATAGTAAACTACTATAATGTAATATTTGGGATACCAGAACGGTTTAAAATCTTTATTGGGACAATTCTGACCTATGTATTTATTTGCTCAAATTCTGATTCTGAGATATCTCTGCAAGACCCAGAGGTTCTATTTCATAGAAACATAGAAACATAGAATGTGACGGCAGATAAGAACCATTCGGCCCATCTAGTCTGCCCAATTTTCTAAATACTTTCATTAGTCCCTGGCCTTATCTTATAGTTAGGATAGCCTTATGCCTATCCCACGCATGCTTAAACTTCCTCACTGTGTTAACCTCTACCACTTCAGCTGGAAGGCTATTCCATGCATCCACTACCCTCTCAGTAAAGTAATACTTCCTGATATTATTTTTAAACCTTTGTCCCTCTAATTTAAGACTATGTCCTCTTGTTGTGGTAGTTTTTCTTCTTTTAAATATAGTCTCCTCCTTTACTGTGTTGATTCCCTTTATATATTTAAATGTTTCTATCATATCCCCCCTGTCTCGTCTTTCCTCCAAGCTATACATGTTAAGATCCTTTAACCTTTCCTGGTAAGTTTTATCCCGCAATCCATGAACCAGTTTAGTAGCCCTTCTCTGAACCCTCTCTAAGGTATCAATATCCTTCTGAAGATACGGTCTCCAGTACTGTGTACAATACTCCAAGTGAGGTCTCACCAGTGTTCTGTACAATGGCATGAGCACTTCCCTCTTTCTACTGCTAATACCTCTCCCTATACAACCAAGCATTCTGCTAGCATTTCCTGCTGCTCTATTACATTGTCTGCCTACCTTTAAGTCATCAGAAATAATCACCCCTAAATCCCTTTCCTCATATGTTGAGGTTAGGACTCTATCAAATATTCTGTACTCTGCCCTTGGGTTTTTACGCCCAAGATGCATTATCTTGCACTTATCCACATTAAATGTCAGTTGCCACAATTCTGACCATTTTTCTAGTTTACCTAAATCATTTGCCATTTGGCTTATCCCTCCTGGAACATCAACCCTGTTACATATCTTAGTATCATCAGCAAAAGACATACCTTACCATCAAGACCTTCTGCAATATCACTAATAAAAATATTAAAGAGAATGGGTCCAAGTACAGATCCCTGAGGTACCCCACTGGTGACAAGTCCAAGCTTCGAATATATTCCATTAACTACAACCCTCTGTTGCCTGTCACTCAGCCACTGCCTTACCCATTCAACAATATTGGAATCCAAACTTAAAGATTGCAGTTTATTGATAAGCCTTCTATGTGCAACAGTGTCAAAAGCCTTACTGAAATCTAGGTAAGCAATGTCTACTGCACCACCCTGATCTATAATTTTAGTTACCCAATCAAAAAAATCAATAAGATTAGTTTGGCATGATCTCCCTGAAGTAAACCCATGTTGTCTCTGATCTTGAAATCCATGTGTTTTTAGATGTTCATCAATCCTATCCTTTAACATGGTTTCCATCACTTTCCCCACTACTGAAGTAAGGCTTACTGGCCTATAGTTGCCCGACTCCTCCCTATTACCTTTCTTGTAAATGGGCACAACATTCGCTAACTTCCAATCTTCTGGGACTACTCCTGTTAACAATGATTGATTAAATAAATCTGTTAATGGTTTTGCTAGTACACCACTAAGCTCTTTTAATAGCTTTGGGTGTATTCTATCAGGTCCCATTGACTTATTTGTCTTTACTTTTGACAGTTGAAATAGAACCTCTTCCTCTGTAAACTCACGTGTAATAAATGACTCATTTATCCTTTTTCTCAACTGAGGTCCCTTTCCTTCATTTTCTTCTGTAAATACATAACAAAAATATTCATTGAGGCAGTCAGCCTGTCCTTTATCCTCTTCTACATACCTTCCTTCTTTTGTTTTTAATCTAACTAATCCTTGTTTTACTTTTCTTTTCTCATTTATGTATCTAAAAAATGTTTTATCCCCCTTTTTTACTGACTGTGCTATTTTCTCTTCTGTGTGTGATTTGGAAGCTCTTATAACTTGCTTAGCCTCTTTCTGCCTAATCTTATAGATCATTTTGTCTCCCTCACTCTGGGTTTTTTTATAATTCCTAAATGCTAACTTTTTGTTTTTAACTATTTTGGCCACATCTGCGGAGTACCACAGTGGTTTCTTGAATTTTTTGCTTTTACTGACAAGCCTAATGCAATTTTCTGTTGCCTTCAATAGTGCAACTTTTAAATAATCCCATTTTTCTTGGACTCCATTTAAATTGCTCCAGTCTGATAATGACTCCTCTACCCATATTCTAATTTTAGAAAAGTCTGTTTTTCTAAAGTCTAAAACTTTTGTTTTTGTGTGGTGTGACTCAGTCACTGTTCTTATATTAAACCATACTGACTGATGATCACTGGATCCTAAACTTTCACCTACAGTAATATCTGATACCAAATCTCCATTTCATGTTTCCAGAGTTCAACCAATTTAATTAGGAAGTGCATTTATATAAAATATTAACCTTGTCAATTCATTACCAACCCGCACAGTTTGTTTTCTAGTAGTGAAGTTCCCATGTACTTGTAGATTTGTTTTATAGACAAATTAATTAAAAATTGCCTACTTTTCCCCCCCTCTTTATTTCTCAAAAGAATGGGCGCTTTAAAGTGCATCAGATATTTCCCAAAGATATGATCATTAACTGTATGTCAAATTCAATAAAATGCTCATGCAATCAAAAGATAAAGGGAAAACTGGAATATGGAATACTTAAAGGAAAACTATAGGGTCAGGAACACAAACATGCACTCCTAACACTATTGTGTTAAAACCATCTAACCCCCCTGCCCCACTAAATATAGTAAAACCTTACTTGTATGGACGTCTGCAGCTGCCTGATCTGCCCCTATCTGCTAAAATCATCAGAAGTGATGGTCTGAGCCAATCACAATGCTTCCCCATAGGATTGATTGAGACTGTCAAGGAGGCAGATCTGGGGCACAGCCAGCACAAGTCAAGCACAGCCCTGGCCAATTAGCATCTCCTCATAGAGATTAATTGAAACAATGAATTTCTATGAGGAAAGTTCAGTGTCTGCATGCATAGAGTGCAGACACTGAATGGTAGTGCTGCTTACTCTGCCGCACTGCCCAAGGAAGCACCTCTAGCAGCCATCTGAGGAGTGGACATTGGAGTTATCACTAAACTGTAATGTATTCTCTGAAAAGACAGTGTTTACAACAAAAAGACTGAAGGAAACGTTTCTACTCACCAGAACAAATTCAATAAGCTGCAGTTCTGGTGACTATAGTGTCCCTTTAATGATTTGGTGAAACTGACAAATAGTAATCTAAAGCAGTGTGTGCAATCTAGATTTGTCTATTCCCACAGCTGTTGCAGGTAAAGGCTGTAAGGAACAGGCACTTTGCAAATCGTTCTATAGAGAATTCGGCTACTATAACAGTGACATGGAGCTAAAGATTGATGCTAGTGGAAAGAGACACCCGTAAGGGAAATTTGGGGGTGAAATAACTCCCTATATTTTATCCTCTGGCTGCCGTAAAAAAAAAAACAAAAAAAAAAAAAAAACACACCACAAAAGTAGGTCACGTTTGGGGGTCATTGTGCATTTTACCAAGTCGCTTTAAAATTGGATGTTTGCATGTAGATTGTGTGTAATAATAGCATTGCACTGGTGATAATCAGTAAGAAACAAACACAAGAATAAAGATCAAAAATTATTTTAATTCCCATATTGATAAAAATAATTCAATGAATTTTGTAAACCATTGCATAAATGCTATAGTGTAAAAGTTTTTTTTCCTTTTTTTTTTTAAACAAGTGTTAACAATTTTTAAACAAGTCACTACAAGTAAATGATTATGCAATTAAATAATACCTTCTGTATCAGGGAAAAAAAAATAAAAAAAACAACCATTCACAATACCAGTCTTTTTGATACACTCAAACCAGATTAGCTTCCATAAATTAATACATGTAAATTCTAAGAATATTTAAGGTCTTTTTCCGACCACAAAAAGTACACAAATATACTGTAACAATAAGAATATTACTAATATTTAAAACACTATTAAAGATAAAGGCTATTTTGAATGTCAACAACAAAAATGATATGTTTTAAAAACAAAATAAAAATGATTGAGAAAAAAAGTACTACAATATGCAGCTTGCCTTCCAATATAATTTTACCAAACTATGAAAAACCCTGAGCAAACCAAAACACCTAGCACTTGTATGGATACCCAAACAATTACAACACTGTGTAACAGTTACATACAGTAAAATGCATGTGTGTTACATGCACATAGCAATTATTTGGTTTAGCAAGATTTACTTTATTGTATTTTTTCCCGAAACAACACAGCTTAGATTAATAACTTATTCAACAGCAAAACAATCTGCATTTGTTACATTCACCTAGTTTTAATATATTAATTGCATAAAAGGTTCCGATTTAACGTATCATTAGGTTAAAGTAAAACAAACCTGTAATATGTTATTTTATTTTTGCATAAAATACTGTATTAATCTGGATTTATTTTTTTTAAAATATATATTCAAATACTTATTTATACCTACTGTAAAAGGTTACATTTAGTGATTAACCATAAACAAGGACTTTGTATATGAATTGATCCTGGTGTACATTTGTGATAACTTCAGTTACTTGAAATAACTTTGTGTGAATGTTAATATATGGTCCTGGTAATACCCAGGGTTTCTGCTACAATTACAAGCAAGCTGCGTATTCCGATCATTTCACATTTTGGTACATTTCTTTGGTCTACTCCTTTTCTTTACAATTAGGCTAATGAAGAAACCATTTTTGCCCAACTGGGACTAAGGTGTAATATTGCATGGTTCCTTGCAGACAGTAGCACCCAGAAGAACAGCAGAGATAGATACAAGACTATGATTTGAGCACCTAAATCAGCACAAAATGTAAGACTGATGTGAACAGTTCACTAAACTGAGCAATTTCACTTTTCATAGAATTTAGCTTTAGAAAACACAGCACATGCTGAACTTCTGCAGAGACCGAATTAGAAACGCAAAATCAATCAATAAAAAATATATAAGATTACCATCAAAAGATGCACACTTGCAGATTAGTGCAGCCATTTTTTTTTTCTTAGCGTCTGTCTATTACACCACTTGGATAAGTCATCTAGAACAGGGGTGTTCATTTCTCATAATTATCATACAGCCAGCACTATGGGAAATGTAGTACAAGAGCCATGGCTATAATTAAGTCTCATACATATATCAGTCTAATGTTATCAAAGTTCTACAAAAAGTTAATGGTATACATTCTGGGACATATAGCTTCACATCTGCATAATTATTACATCACCAAATTCAGACTAATCAAAGTGTAGTTGACCAAGGAGCAGATCAAGTAGCATCTGGCTGTTCCAAAACTAAACAAATAATCAAAGCCATCTGTCATCAAAGGGAATTTATAATAATAATAAAAAAATTTAAAAAAAGTATAAAAGATCACGTGGTAAATATTAATGTTAAAATAAATATTTAATCGAAGAAAATGATTGCACTGTTCCGAGACAACCAATCTTACTGAAGGGCAAATAAGGCCATCTTGGACATTCTAGGGACAATATTAATTACTAAACATCCTTAGATAGATGCTTATAGTGGGATGAAATCTTGACTTTCATTATAACAACAGCTCTACCTGTAAAATAGCCACAAGTCCCGATTTAGTCAACAATGGGAAATAATGGTATTCTAGGAAGCTATATAATAATTTGCTGTTAATCTGAGTATACATCTGTCCCACAGGAAACCCTCAAACTAAAATTCTAGAATACCTGCACAACCATTTGAGCACAAGCGCATTAATGAATGGTGACTTCCCGTTCTAAGACAATCCTGGTTTAAAACCACGAATGTCTTCCGAAGGCGTTAAAAACAACAATTTTACTGAAAGGTGCAACAGGATACTTTACCAATAAATTGGCACAAATAGGTGGATTTCACAAACTGTTCTGTTCTGAAAGGCGGTGGAAAGTTGTTAAAATTGGATCACCAAAGTAATTTATTAATGATTTCACCACATTCACACAGTGATTACCTTACTTATAAAACTTTGCACCAATTTTCAGACCACAACATTTCCATAAATCTCCTTGAAACCATAAATACTTCTATGAATTTGAGATCTGATATTTAATAATTTTGGCAGGACTTACACTTCCATGCACAACAGACCTAGCCAGATCTTAAAGGGGAACCATGACTTCTTTTGAATTTACACCATTGAAATAAAAAATAAAATAAAAATCTCTATTTTGTGGTAACCATTTTCATGATACATAAATTTTATTTTATTTTAAATGAGGACTGGGTTAGGAACCCCTGGTTTAGAGTGCTAAAGTACCAGAAAGGTAAATTTCCAGATGAAAGACTGTCTCTTTAGAAGAATAAAGAAAAGTTAGTTTTTATTAGTAAAGAATATAATAAACTAAATATTGAAAAAGTAAACAAATTCAGGTTGTTATAAAAAAGTTAAGACCAAAGAAAAGCACCATAATAATGCTGATGCTTAAGTGCATAAACTAATATATATATATTTATATACACACACACACATATACACACATACATATATATATATATATACACACACACACACATACATATATATATATATATATACACACACACACATATACATATACATATATATATACATATACATATACACACACACACACAAACTAAAAAGAATGGATTTCCTAAACATACCACAAAAATAAGCATCAATGGATATGGCAACTTCCAATCTAAATTAGGTCATTTACTTACGTTCTTAAATAGAAAAGAAAAGTATGTTTAAAACAAAGGCTATGTAGTATAAGCATTATTTTCTAACAATGAAACAACTACATAATTCCTAATTTCACATTCAAGACTGAAATGAACTTTAACTAAAAGCGTGTTCAATAATGTTAAAAACAAATAAATTTTAAAAAAGTTCATGCTACAATACTTTCCCTAATTTGGTCACGGTGAAAATCATTACTAGGTCACGTTGCATATGTATTCAACGTAACAATGTACTTAATGTTTAAAATGTCTTTGGCAAGGGAGAATATCCAGTGCTACAAAGCTTCAGTAATCTTGCCCCATTATCACCCTGAACTTCTTTGCCCGTGGTAGCGCTGTCACCCTTTCTAATGGTGAAGAATTTGGTTCTGAGTCGTCAACCATTTCTGAATGTATGCGACAGCTGCGGCTTAGAACATCCCAAAGATCTGAAGTCAGACTACCTACAGATATTCCTCAAACGATGAAGACCTATTCCCACGGTCCTGCAGATAACCAACTCACCTTCGAATCTCTCAGGTCTGCCGGTTCCGGCCTGAAAAGGTCAATAATTCATAAGTTATATCTTGTGCCTTTCAGAAAAGGATATTATGACCTTATGCCTTAGTAACAGCAGGATTTACCTGCACGCTACGATTAGGCGTCAACAACAAATCTATGCTTCCAGAACTGCCGGAGGGGATGGTGATGAGCACCAAAGAGGCCAGAGAAGAACTGGAAAAACTATTGAGTGATGACAAGCAGTTGAGGAACCAAGTGTAGCAGACCGTGACTTTTCCTTACTGTGTTCGTGTGTTTTGCCCCATTTTACATGTACCCTTTCCCGTGTCCGTTCAGGGAATATCTTCACAAAGAGACTTCATTCAGCTCCCATCTAGGGGGAGCATTCGCGGATCGCTTCCCACGTCTTTCATTTGCTGAACAGGGAGCTCCCCTGTGCCCCATTAGAATGTTCACACCAATCAATTAGAACGTTCGCACTCGCAACATAAGTGTGAAACCGCAAGGTAAATAATTAACGCTACACTGGGTGGCCGCCATTTCATATAGGCGAACGGCTCTCAGGGGGGAGCATTCGTATCCCAAAAGGAGACGCTTCCCTTGCCTGGTTTCCACTCAGGGACCCCGCGAAGATAGTTTATGACAGGGGCCATTGTGAGGTTCCCTGAGGTTGGTGTGGGCACTTCTGGAGCACTGGCTGATTTGGTGGGCTTTTTTTGTGGCTGGGAGAAAAAGGAGCTATTCCTTTTTCCCGCACTAGGTCTCCCAGGTACAGAGGCTCATGGGATGAAGACCCCCTGCCCCCGGATGTGGGAAACCCTGTATTTGGCTGGCGGGCTTTTGCAGACAATGGGACAAGTCTTTTTCCCGCGTTAGGGGAGGACCCTGGGAGGGGACACTGTGATTGTGTGGTGTACACCCCTTGCATGGGGTTTTGCTTAAAAAGCCGGGTGTGTTAAATATAGTGTTGTTGTAGTACCACCAGATCTAGTTGTCCACGGAAGGTCACGCCGGCTCTGCTCAGACAGGAGTTCCTGAGTCCGGTGACCCACCAGAATTAGAACGTAGTGAGGATGAGGAGGATTAACCGGGGGAAAGGTCGTTTGGTACATTCCCAAAGTTGCCATGGTACTTTAATGAAACCTCAGTGTTCATAGATCTGTACGGTCTATTAAGTGCGATCGGATTTTATAGACCAGTTTTCTCATTAGATTTTGTTATTAGGTTATGACATATTCAGATACCTCAATACGAGTGCCAGTCCACGTTCTAGTATAAGTAGCACATATGCATGTGGAGAATATCCAACTATAACCAACACTTCATTCTTTAAAAAAAAAAAAAAAAAAAGTCTTTGCCAAAAGACTACACGCATACACAAGAAACAAAAATTTAAAAATTATTTTAAAAAGTCCATTTATATTTATCGGAAAATGGCAATGACTGAAGCCCATCCAGTATGCTACAACCGAGTAAGACAGACAGACAAACAAACAAACAAACAAACAAACCTATTTTCGGGGCATTGTATTTTCTGCAACACTTCATGTATTTTGCCAGTACCAATGCATAGTTTATTAATGCATATGCAGATTCACATTTGTTAACCCCAATTTTATAAGTGGGTTTTGAGATTGGATTTCTTAGACAGGTAGTGATGAGCACATGGATCACGTAAAGTCACCAACACTTTTCAAATAATATGAATGGACTTCTCAGAAATGATAAAGCAGAAATACATACAATTTTAACACAGTAGCTGGTCATTTACATTTCAGTACATTAGTTACATTTTTAAATTGCACAAGAAAAAAATAAAATAAAAATAATTAAAACACACAGGAGGCATACTTCTTTCTACATGTAAAAACAGCTCAGTTAGTGAAACATAATTTGTTACAGTGTTCAAGTGGACCTGTCATTCACAACACGTGAAAGACAAAGTCACTTTCGGTTGCGTGCTCAATTAACCTTTCTAGAGTGCTCTCAAAGTCACCAGTAAAATGTATAATTCATTTCCTCAAAGATTCTGCTACAATGGAGGGTTAGCTGCATACAAGGACGCTCCATCCTCAAATCAATTTTGCAATAGTTCACATCGTGGACACTATAACGTGTAGTCTTATACCTCTAGCTTAGAGGTAAAGGAAAAATAGGGGGTGGAAACCTAATTGAAGAATAAAATGTAACCTATGCATTTTCTACCAGTTTGGTTAACTATGTGTAAAGGAAGTTTCATTCTCTAAATAGAGCCACATTTGCCCCTTCTGCGTGACTTTAGAACAAAGTAAATTTATTTATTTTAAGTGCCTTCTAGCTATTTGTACTTACATTAAATATTATCGCATTACATTTAATTTTGTAACAGCACCATGGCCCAATTAAAATTAAATATATATTTTTTGCAGTAAAACGGTCATTTAAATTTGTTATATTGATAACTTAAAAAAAACACACTGGATATTAGTCTAATGTTTCCAATTATTCAAGCATGCCCAGAACAATTAAAAAAAACAAACAAAAAAAAAAACAAACAGAGCTATAAAACAGGTGAGTCAAATTGCTGAACAAGGAAAGGTACTGAACGTTTAGCTGCTGTAAGGCATAGGCACTTGAAAGAGGTGGCCATGTGACCTCATTTCACATCTCCAAAAAGCTTAAAATGCATGATATCATGAGGTTAGGATTCATACAAACAAGTCCAATATGAAAAAAAGCTATTAAAATGCACAAGTTATATAACACATTGCAATAAATGTGAAAAATTTAACAAAAATGTAAAAAAACAAACACAAGTTACAAAAATGGTTCCTTCAATAGAATGATTTTCTAAATTCTTAAAGTATTGTAAATATGTGCCTTCTCAATAGCAATCAATTTGCTGGCTATTATTATAAATACTATTAGTTTGCACTTACTTGAAAACTGTAAAAATCCTAGGCTAAAATTTTGCACTACTATATATTGTTCATTTAATAAAAGTACTAAATTCAGCATATGAAACCTAACAATAAATTTACTACACTAATTTTTTAACAGTAATAAACTGACATGAAATCTTCTCGTTCACAGTACACAAAAAGCTCAATATTATCGCTTATTTGAAAAAAAAAAAAAAAAATCTACAAAGCAGCTTAAAGCAATTTATAATAACCTCTAAACAGAATCCCTGGTTAACAAAGTGCTTTTACAAGAATTAAACTTCTTCAAAATAACCTAGTAAGAAATAGTGCTAGACTGATTCCAAGCTCACAAGCTGTAAATTTAACAATTATCTCACACAAAGCACCAGTATATACATAAACTCTATTAACCCGATTCTCTATCAAAGTGTACATACAGTAAGTCTCTCTTCCCACCATCATGAGGGTAACTACAACGTATAGCTAGATGACCTGTTTAACCAAGCTCTTACTTTGCATTTTGATTGTTCTAAAAATTAAAATAAAGCTGAAAAAAAAATACATACATACATACATACACACACACACACACACACACCATGTTTAGTCCTTGCACTCAGGCTAAACACAATTGTGCAAATGCCGGGTGCCAGTCCTGGGGTTTGATAATGCAAAATAGATTAACATATGGGCTGCACTCACGGTCTTTATCATCATAAAAGAAAGACGGTGAGTGCAGCCCATATGTTTAATATATATATTTATGATTGTATGGTTTCTTGGTTTTAGGTGAAATGAAAATGAAGATTGGGTTTTGTCTAAAAGTGGAATACTGTTTAAAGGGGCATTGTCCATCAAGGAGATTAGCATGCACACGTACATACACATCAGTTTTGTTTGCTTTCTTTAAAAGCTAGTGTCAAAAATTGGTACTTCTAACATTACATTTTTTTTTTTTTTTTTTTAACATTGCAGACCAATGTGGCATTTCTGGTATGGCTGATCAGCTTTATACCAAATGAAAAGTACAAAGTTTAACATCAAGTTGTGAAGCAGTGTTTTACAAATGTGCAAACTACAACTAACTAGATGCAAATGTGCCAACCAGACAGGATATTGCTCAACCCAACTGTTGCAGAACTAAGTACCATGATGCTTTGCAAGTCTACAGGCTAGGCATCATGGGAGTTAGAGCTTTTCAACAGCTGGGAGTCTACTCATTTGCCAAGCCCGGTCAAACTGGGAGGCAGCATGTTTACATTAAAATACTTATTTATTTTAAATAACAAATTCACAATTTATCACTACCTTAAATATTTTAGGTAGATTATTTTAGTTTGGTTTTTCAAATCTAAACTCAGAAACTGAGTTCTTCTTTGCAAACACTTCAATTTTAGACCTTTAAAAGACATGTCAAAGAAACCTTGATTTTATTTTCCTTTTTTTTTTATGAAAAAAATATAAAATATTTTTTGTTTGTTTTGTTTTTGGTTTTTTTAGGAATCCTTTCGACCTATAAAAAAGGTAAAACTATTCTTATATTGTATTGCATTGCTACTTTTTTCATTAAACAATCAAATATGTAGAGTGATTAACTGTATACAATGAAGGATACAATTATACCCTCTTGATATGAAACCTTTTCTTTTTCCATGGCTGAATCCACAACATCATAATAAATGTTATTAATGGTGGAAAATTAACAATATCAAGAAGCAGTAAAATACTTGGATTTAATTATTAGTGATCCCCAGCAAACCAATTAATTTGATCTGAGAATCCTTGGTGTCCTATGAGGGTAGAGATCAGTCTATCACTTTTAAGAGATACATTGTTCACCTAGAATTTCTATCTCATATAGCAAATACTAAACACAGAATGCAATATTTGTTTTTGTTTACATAATACGTGAATTTCTCAGTGGATTGATAAATAGCTGTAGAATGGTTGATCACCATTTCATTCTTTTGGTCTTGCAGTAAGGACATACTGGTTCGCTAGAAGCGCACCGCTCACATAATACATAATGCTCGCAGGACGGGAGGACAACACTTCGGTCTTGTTCGTGGCAAACATCACATTTCTGGGAATGTAGCTGGAATATCAACTGTGCAAAGAGTAGAAATTAGGTCAATAAGTAAAAATGGTGGCAACTAAGACATCAAATGCAGACACATCAGGAAATCATTTATTGTAGTTTGTG